TTGTTTTTAGGACCATGCATCTGCCCATAGGTTTGCAAAGTTTCATAAGGCATCTTTCCAAAAGCACAACCACCCCAGATGGGTTTGGGAAGAGTGCTTAGCAAACTGGAAGCCTTATAAAAGTTGGTTAAATTCAAAGTGAGTGGAATTTAAAAGTGAAGGTCCAGAAAACAGGATCAGTTTATGACACTACTATCAAAGCCTTTAATGCAGCAGCTGAAATGCACTTCCTTCTGCCTCCTCTTTGCCCCCCTATTACTGAAAAGGGCATCATTCTGGTGTTGTTGGAGACTGCAGCTGCCAACCTCTAGACTAAGCCGCAGGCAGGAGACCAGGGAGCACAGGGGGTCTGGCCTCTGGGGATCGGCACAGGAGCACTGACCAGCCCAGCAGGTACCTGCAAAGCAGGTCCAGGGAGCCAAGTGGGTGTCTGGGGAGACTATGCTCCAGGGCTTCCACATGTACAGAGAAAGGACTAGCATATTGGAAGAGATGCACCAGGGACTGCCGGTGAAATTAATCTTGCACAAATACTTTATTTGCACTTCTTCTGTTTCAGCTGCAGGATGGATTCAAAGCTCACTGATGTTTGTCCCATCACGTGGATGAAAGCACAGGGTATGATCAACCATGCAGTGAAGCTGGGCAGCACTGCCTTTGCCTAAACCCACAGCCACGGTGTCCTGTAGTCACTGCAGAGTGGACAAACACAGCAACTCTGAGCAACATGCAAAGCCATCTGCCCTTCATTTTCATGATCAGCACCAGAAAATATAAAACATCCAAATTCTTCTGCTTTACTCTTTCACAGATTCTCCCAGAGACAGAAGCAAGAACTGGGTCTGGAGGAGGAGAAACCTGAAAACAGGCACTGAAACTCACTGTGCGTCCTGGCCTCCCCTCCTGCACTAACAAACCTGGGAGAGTTTTATCTCCAGGCAGAGAAATTGTCACAGTGACTGGCAAAGCTGCACATGAGAGGGCAGGATTTGTTTCAAAGTTATGCATCAAAGTCTGAGCTAGGTATTAAATTTCCTGTATAATTGATGGAGTTAAATAAATACCATCAGAGGGAGGTTAGTGTCACAGTAAGGCAGTACCCAAGATAAGCAGCATGTGGCCTCCTCCAAAGACTCCTTCTTTCCCTTGCCTTTAGAAGGATCCAGGATGGTTGGTTTAGTGTAGAGACCTGATTTAGGAACCTAGAGATAAACCCCATCCGTGGTGGCTTGCCAGCTACATGACTACTTTCCCTGCCCATTGCTATGTTGTCTTGACAATGAGATTATAATAGAGGGGATGAGGAAATGACAGCAAGACATCTGCCATGCAGATTTTGAGTGGGAGTTCAGCAGCTCACCCCCTGTAGCACAGGCAGTGGATGAATTCCCTTCCTTGGGACCTCTGGGAAAACTCTACAAAGTGACTATCACATGGTTTCACCTCTCAGACTTCCCAGTGGGTAGCAGTCGGCAGTCCAGAGCTGCCTACAGGAAAGCAGGTTGCAGCTTGTCAGCTTCCCACACCCTGGTCCTGGAAGGACTCAGCAGCCAAGTCTAAATAAGCAAATCTGCCAAAGTTCAGTTCCAGTTTGAGGCCTCCTTATCAGCAGGGTCTTTTTCACAAGCTATTTCTGTTTGCCTTTCCTCTCTAGGTAGGTAGCATGTTTAGCTGCAACCAACAAAAGCTCTGGGACGTTATTTTTGGGACTTCAACCTTCAACAGCCACTTTGCTCTTTGAAACATTTCATTTTTCCCCACCCTGGCTGAAGAGCTAAAGCTTTCAGTGTTGAGCAGGACTTTCATCCATCCTCAGTGTGCTTTGCTGTCTCAGTGCACACTGGCAGAGCGGAAGTCCCCCAGGTCTGTGCATCCCAGGAGGAGAAGCTGATGCAGGCAGACCCTCCCAACTAATGGTGTCACGCCCTGTGGGTACATCTTGAGCAGCTGACTCAAGGATAGCCCCAATGGTTGTCACTCAAAAGGAAAACGTTAAATGAAAAGCTGACAGACCAGCAAGAAAGACAATAATAGAATAAAATGCTTCAGTCTAAATATGGAATGTTTGTCCATAAAGACCATCAGAGGACCAAGTGGAAACGTCATGTGTGGGAAACCTGTAGCTGGACTATCCCCAGGTAGCTCACAGCTGGATCTGCCCTGCTTTTCGGGTCACAGTAGTGTCCCAAAACCATGGTGGTGATGCAGAGCTGGCAGATGTGCCCTTGAAAATACCGTAACTCCAAACCTGTTTGGTTTCGGTTCCACTGCAATTCACAGGTTGCTTTCATAATGACATTACTGTCTCTCAGATCCCTGTACAAGAAGGGTGTGATGTGCCCCACTCTCTCCCACTTGCCCACTCCTTTTGGCAAAAAGATTTCACACAAAAAGCCATCACAAACCCCTAGGGACACAGGCCCTTTGTAGTCTCTAGTGTCTTTAGGAATCAATTAAACTCAGCAATCAGAAAGCTCATGCACGGAAAAAAATTGCACAGTTGGTGGGCCAAGGGGTTAGCAGGCTGCGTGGAGCACAACTAGCAAAGCACTCATCGCTTAAACCCTTTCCCGTGCCATTTGTTCACAGTTCGACCCATCAGCAGGCTGTCCCATCCCCCTCCAGCCTGGCCCTTTAAGTAACTTGAGCCTCTAGGCTGTAAATCCCAGTCTCTAACTAAAAGGATGGAAAAGCAGATTTCCCCCTTCCCCCTCCTGGGTCTTTTCTTTTAAAAGCAACCATTTCTCCCCCTTTCCCTTCTGGTGAGAAGAGATGGTCCCTCCCATATCAAGGCAAATTGGCAATTTCTCCACCCCAGGACGCTTCTGGCAGCTCTTTTTTGCAGCTTTCCTCCCCTTCCGCTGGTGTTTAGCAAACCTCAGCTGATTTCCAAACCCTCCGTGGCTGCTGGGGGTTGGTGCAAAAGTTTAATTATTTGCTTTTCCTTGGGTGCGTAAGGCGGGGACAGGGAGAAAGTCAGGCCTCGTCGCCTGACACTACAAATCTTGCCCACTTTTGTTCTATAACCCCTCTCCCACCCCCCTTCCTTCCCAGTCTCCTGCCCAGCTCCCAGAGCCCACCATGAATCCACAGACGGTTTTGGGATACATTTGCCTGCTTTGCTTTTCCTTCGTGAGCACAGCAAAAGGTAAGAATCTTTGGGCTGCTTCGGGTCCAGGGACACAATCGGGTCCGGGTGCCCCGAGAGGCAGGATGCTCATCCTGCTGCACAAAAGGCCTCCTGGGGCTCGCCATAATGCAACATCTCCCCAGTCTCCAGCCTGGGAAGGAAGAGTTATTGCCACAACTGCAAATGGTCTGAGCATCTCACAAGGTGGGGAAATATTTTAGGACTGTGGAAGTCCTCCCTGGGGGGTGAGGAAAACCAGAGAGCTGGAGTTTCTTAAACTGCACACGGTGCAGAAATATAGAAACTCTTTAGCGTGACTCACAGAGAAAAGCCCCAGGGAGCAAGCTGAATTTCCATCGATTCATCTATCATTATAACAAAAGTAGCAAAACTATAAAACATTTCAGAAGCCCAGCAAGTGCATCAGATTTGCGGGAGAATTTCAAGTGATTTTAGAAAATAGATTAGACTGGTTATATCATGGCAAAGGCAACTCTCCCCCCTGCAATTACATTTGTATATGAACAGGAGAATGGACTCCAAATAATTCTAGATAAATAAAATTAAAGCAAGGGGTTTTGATCTAAAGCTGCCCCATCAACTTCAGTTTGCCCCATCACTAAGTCAGTGATTTAAGTGATTTAATTAATTGGCAGTTCTGATGGGAAGCATGCGATATAAAGCATATGGCCTCTTTTCTTCCCTAAATAAAAATGCTAGCATTGTCCCACTTAATGCACACTTCAAGACATGCCTTCTGTCCATGGGCATGCTCAGGAAACTGCTTCAGGATTAAAGTGTGTTTCTCTGCAGTTTTGAAAATCCCTGAAGTCCCCAAGGAAGGCCCCCACTGGCCACCATTTCTAAGGACTGGAAATGCAAGCAGGAATCAGCTGTCACTCCAAGAACACCCAAATATCCAAACCCGCAGGCATAAATTATTTCCCATGAAAACCTTCCTATGTTCTCCCCCAAGCATGTCAGCTGTACCTACTGCTTGGTGTAAAAATGACACTTCCAGGAGGCAAAGTGATGCAGGTCACATGCACCCCTGTGAGTCCATGTCCCCTCTAGGATGGAAGGTGCTGGCTGCAGGAAGCAGAGGGACTGAGGACTGAGACCACGTACCCTCAACATTTGCATCTTTCCTTAGGGAATTTGCAGCCTCTTTCTTTCCAGCCTGGGACCCTGTATCAGTACCACTATTCCCTGGATGTCCAGCTGGACCACACATCCATGTCATCCCCGCGGGGAGCCTGGCTACAGGCTGAGGCATTGGTCCAGCTGCACCAGCTCTGGAGGGACCAAGGTGGGGAAGAGCTGCTCCAGGTGCAGGTACGTGAGGCAGTAAATCCATTGCAGCCAGGTACTCCTCCTGGGAGCAGTGATGCTGTCTTTCCTTACCCCCTTCCCTTTCTAGCCCAAGCCATCTGAAAAACGACCACTGTGACCAAGAAGCCGTTGCCTGCAGGTAAAATGCGCAGCAGCCTTAGAGCAAACATGTTTGGTCACTGCTTTCTGCTGTCTTCTGCTGCCATAGATCCACAACCTGAAAGCCCAACAAGAGCCAGAAGAGGAGAGGCACCAGGACAGCATTGGAGGTCCCCCTGCAGAGATTGCACTGAGCCAGGAGGCACAGGCAGAGCTCCAGCAGCCAGTGTTCGTCTCCTGGAGCAGCGGGAAGGTCAGCTGGACACCTTGTGGGATTGCTCATGCCCTCTGCAGAGCACTCCTGCCCGCATCACAAATTGTCTCGGCTACGAAGCCCATACAAACTCCTGCTGCACCTCTGATTTCACATCAGAACACAAGGAACCAGACGGAGTGGCAAATGTAGGAATATACAGTCTCCTGCAGGGTCTAGTATGACCCTAGATGGAGCCCCATCCTCCAAAGAGGCTGCAGGCTTGACTAGAGCTGCAGCATCTCATGTTAAAAGAGCTTCAGTCCTAACCATGGGATATAAGCTCCTTTCTGACTTTCTCCTCTAAGACTTTGGAAAACTGGGGCAGGGGGAAAAAGGGAAATTTTGTGGGCATGCATCTGCAAAGCTTGTGTTATTGAGGGACACGGTCCTCCTTGTGAAAAATCCTCAGGTATCTGCAGGGTATTGCTTAGGTTGCAGGGAGGTGCCTTTCAGCAGGGAAGGCAGAGAGAGCTCACAAGGCCCCCAGAGCCATCCCCACAGCCAGACACCACCTCTTGCCCTCCCAGGTCAAAGCCTTCTACGGGGACAAAGCAGAAAGCGTCCTGATCTCGAACCTGAAGCGAGGCATCATCAGTCTGCTCCAGCTCCAACCCCATGCTGGCACCACAGTGGAGGTAGGTGCAGAGCTGGGGCCAGATCCTGCCCAAAAGCCAGGGACTATGCCCCGGCACGAGAGCACAGCCAGCCCAGGTGCTCCAGCAGAGGAGGCAAAATTCAGGATAAACATCTTGGGCTTCACTACTTCAGCTACCCCTGGGCTGTGACTATTGGAAAGACAGAAGACTTAAAATAAAATAATCTGTAGATGATTTTTCAGGAACAGGGATGCTTACAAAGTCATCATCTTTGCCTGGACAGTAGAAATAGTGGTGAAAAAGCTCTACAAGAATTTCTGCCAAGTGGGATTTGCTTTGCCCAGCCCAGCCAGCAGCCTGCAAATGGCAGGGAAATTCCTCCCTCCGGAGTCAACTGATGCTACAGTGACCTGCGAACAACATGAAATAACCTCAAAACCCAAAATGCAGGCACAGAGATGCTGCTGCTGGTGTTAGCCTGAATTTGCTAAAGCAAATTTCCTGCCCAGATGGACTTGGAGCTATCCAACACCCCTAAATATGGCCCATTTTCGACCTTTTTTATGATTTTTCTGTTTATTAATTTGTCCTTTGTGTCTGTCCTCTACACAGATCATTTTATTCAGGATCAATCAAAGACAATCACCCTTACCCATGGTTACCTACGTTTGTGTTTCAGGAGGACACCTCTGGGAGCTGCCAAGTCACGTATGCCGTGTCCAACCATTCCATCACAAAGACAAAAGATCTCCTCAGCTGCACAAAGCCAAAGTCTGGATTCACCTCTGCAAACAAAGCAAGTCCATTCCTTTTGCAGTGGTGGGCCAACTTACATCAACTATATCAGGGCTGTCCCTAAAATCTTCCTGCGGGTGGGCTGTGAGTCCCACTCTTAGCTGGCTTCAGCCTTCTGCACCAGCCTGGGATGGGGCTCTAGCTCTTAGACCCATACCCAAAGTGGGATACACCAACATACCTCAGGAGGATCATATGGTTTCGAGGTGGGTAGGAGCAGAAAATATGTCCTGGGTCATCCCATGCCCATCCTTGTTATCAATTCTGACCTGTCAGCTAATCCTGCTTGGTAAGGTGGCAATACAGAAATGTTTTCTGGACCTCAGAGTCATTTGATTGGAGATTAGATTGACATGGGACAGGACCAAAGACTGCTGCTTGTTTCATTTAAAGCAGTAGCCCATGTTCAGCCCTGACATAAATAGATGAAACTCTGTGGGTCTTAATGCAATTATACCTGCCATTATTAAAATCAATGGGTATTTTAAAACATACAAAAATTCTACTGAACTCAAGATAAAAATGCACATCACTGCAGACAGCCCATGGGCTTTGGCAGGGGTCTCGACACCTGGCAGTCAAACTCTGAGTGTTCACGTAATAAAAGCTTTCTGGAGTACGAATCATGGCAAACTTACCCAAGAAAATAACAAACCCTGCATAGCACATTTTTGGTGATAAGGTTTTCCCACAAGCCTACCATCTGGATTGAGGCAGCTCTCTGGATCTCACCTGTATCCGTAGCTTGGACAGCAAAATAACAATGCTGCCCAACTCTGTAGAAGGCAAAGCCTATGGATGAAAACCTCTCTGTTACAGTAGTGATATTATTATTGCTAATGCCATTTGCTGTCAAAAACCACCACTTGCAGATAGTTCAGCTCTTCCCCTTCCCCAAGACCTGCCATGTGCAAGCCCAGCTGCTCCAATAACATCTGCTGGTGCGACCAGCACTCCCCTCACTAAGGCTGGCAGACAAGGGAGAGATGAAGTGCAGCAAGTGCGTCATTTCTTTCGGAAGGAAAAAGTCCAGAGAGCTTCCCCAAGGTCACCAAGCAGCACAGCGAGGAAGCCAAGCATTTTTTGGCACGAGCTCAGTGGAAATTGCTGTTGCTTAGCTTTCTTTTTCACTTGGACAATGTCCTTGCTGATGCTCGTCAGGATGATGCAGTTTTGGCATTGAGGGCCATACCTCTTCCCACACATGCGCAACTGCATTGGGGCAGCTATGGAGCTAGCGCTGTCCAATGGACCTGAAGGAAGGCCAGTGCTTTGGGAGGCATTTATTTCCAGCTTCCAGTCTCCAGGCATCACCCACGCTAGGCAGAAGCACCTCCTGCTCCCTCTGCTGCCCTTTTCTTCTGTGGCTGAGCCAGGGTGACACCACCTTGTAATGAAAGAGAAAGTCCGCATGGCGTCATCAGTCTGTCTCCCAACATCAGCTACGGACAAGAACATCCCCTTGCCGTGGTCCTCATCTGGTGCTGCCTTCTCCCACATCTGGGAAGAGGTTGGGCTCTTCCGGATTTTTCTTTCCTATGTTTTGCAAGTGAAGCAGGTGACTTTGTGGACTAGAAAGATCTTTTGCTGTTAACAGAAAGGAGGGAAATCTGCTGGGGAGAGGGGAAGAGAGAAAAGGTTGCATTATTTCTCCTTGATTTTCCTTTTTCAAGATTTTTGGAGTCAAGTGGCAGCCCACCAGCAAAAGCCGGTACATGGTAAAAGACAACCTCCTCCAGTCAGTGCTGGCAGAGGAAAGCCACATGGTGACTGCAGCCCTGAGGTCCACCACCGGCATGAAAATCAGTTCAAGGTGAGTGATGTTCCCATACCACTGCCCGAATTGGGTAGCCTGGCATGGGATGAAGGTGCATCTGTTGGAGTTAAAGTGTTTGCTGCTCTCCTGCCATCCTGGTTGGCATAGCCTGGTGCAGGCAGCAAGGAGGACAGGGTGCAGCAGCTGGGCACAGCCGAAGGGAACACCAGGCACCTTTTAACAGCTTCCTCCCACATCTCATCCTTCTCCAAACCTGCACGAGCCCAAACAGCCTCTGAGACAGGGAGTGTGTAAATGACAAAGCACTTCCTGATGGCTTCTTCTCCCTCCACAGGCAGCAGCTCCAACTACTGTCTCCTCCAATGCCCGGTCCAGCAGAGGCAGATGGACGAAGCCTCGAGGACACACTGGCTGGCATGGAGGGATGGCACCAGCCCCTGGGCATGGCCAGCCTGCCCTTCAAGAGAGTCTGCACCCACTGCCCATCGGTCAGTGATGCTACCCACCACCAAAACTCACTGCATGCTCTCCCCCAAGCTGGGCACCTGAGTGGGCAGGAGAAGGCTGCAGGATTTGGGGTTAAACTGTGGTGACGTGTTTTGAGAGGCTGGTTACTGCTGTCAAGGCAGGATGTGGCCCCAGGAGTGCTGTAGAGCAGCAGCCTGACCTGTTACCTCTCCTAAATAGTGCCTAATGTTGCTACCCGTGGTGGAAGGACTTCTCTGTCCCCCCAGACATAGCTGTGTCTCTGTGATGAAAAAAGTAACATGGTGCACAGCTGGCACATCCAATTGGGTTAAACTCATCACACGTCTGAGCTCAGGAAACATTTCTGCCACAGGTCAGGCTAGCAAGGATAAAGGAGGGGTTAATTCTGCCTCCTCAAGTCCTCCAGGCTTTTCACCTATGAAACCTGGAATTGCAATGACTTTCATGCACTGGCAGTGCTCGTGGTTTCTCCTGCTCTTTTCCTGGCACATACTGTAAATTGAGGCATTTGGGCTTCAGCACAAATGCTCAGTGGTGGGGTGTAGGAGGCTGCAGCAGATGACTGCAGGTAATTGCATGACCCCCATGGGCCCCTCCCAATACTAAATATTTCCTGAGTATAAACATTATCCCATGATTCAGGATGGGGGGGTAAAAGAGGCTAAATTCCACCTAACAAACCTGATCTTTGCAGCTGAAAGCCTACCTGAAGGCTTTTGACAGCCAGAGAGTCAAAATGGGTGCCTCAAAGGCAGCGACTACGTGGCGGTTCCAGAAGTTCATCCAGATGCTGCGCAGTGCCAAGAAGAGAGATGTTCTGCAGCTGCTGAGGAGAGTCCCTGAGGAGATGCTGTGAGACTCCCAGGAGCTATCTTGCCAAAATTGGCTTTCTCTGCATGTAGAGCTTGGGCATGTAGGGTCATTCCTGGCCCTGGCAACTGCAGTCATTTGGTGCTCGTCTATACACCATACCTGGTCCAGGCAGTTGTCCTGACTGTTTTTTTCTTAATGCCCATTGCGTACAAACACTGCATGGGTTTGGTGGGGGTTTTTTTGGCTGGCTTTGGAGCAGAACAAATGCTCCAGCAAGGCTTTCTGCAAATATTCTATGAAATATCATTGGAGGTCTGTTATTTACAGACCATCCACCCACAGCTGTAGCATCCATCCCTTGTCAGTGTGGGTGCTGGGGCTGGGCTCCTCTCTGCAGTGAAATACCTAGACATGGGTGAGTTCAGACCAAGAGCCAACCTTCTAGGTTTTTTTAACCCACGAACTGAAGCTTCCATGAATTTTAAAGCAAGAGGAAAGCACAGAGAAGAGAAAAGGGGATGAGGAGCTGTACCTTGTTTCTTCTTCAGCTCTATTGGTGGGTCGTGGCACTGATGACCTCCCTCTTCTTGCTCCAGCCCCTTCGTTGTGGAGGCGGCAGTGGCTGCACGGTCAGTGGCAACCTTGGCGGCCCTCTCAGACTTTCTGGATTTCAGCAGGGAGCCCAAGTCCCTGCTGGAGAAGTTTCTCTATGCAGCAGCTTTCTCTCCCCGGCCTTCAGGAGAGCTTCTCCGCCTGGTGTTAGTAAGTATGTACATTTCTCACCCTCCCTAAGTGTGGCATGGAACCTCACCCCATTTCAGTCAGGAGGGAACAGAAAGCATATTTTCCTGAAAAAGGAAAATATGTTTCTGTAGAAATGTATCTTCCTGCTTATGAAAGTATTTTATGTGCTTTTAATGGGACACTAGTGATGTGAGTAGATGCTCCTCAGAGGAAAAGCATTCAGCAGAAAGTGCTTTATGTCAGTGCATTAAAGATAATAAAAGCTTAATTAAAAGCCACTATGAAAAATCAGCATTTTATCCCATTAAACCATACATTGCCTACTTCAAGGCAGGTAAGAGCTAGTTTTTCCTTATATTTTTGGTAAACACTTAGATAACAGGTAAAACATACTTGTTTTCTGTCTCCTTCCCCATTTTTTTTTCCCTGTTTCCTAATACTCCTCCCCTGGTGCCCAGGACAAGCTGGATAGGAAGCAGCTGGCCCCCGAGGTCCATGAGACAGCAATAATTGCTGTGGGCTCTCTGGTCGGCAAGCTGTGCCAGCAGAAGCTGTGTGGGCTGCAGGTGGGTACACTGCAAACCTCCATGCTTGGCTTTTTCCGGACCCCTCCCCTCCTCCAGGAGTGCCCAAAATGTCACCTATCCCCCCTTATTCTCCCTCTCCTCTGCCCTCCCGCAAACACCAAGCAGGAGGTGGAGCGTGGGCTGGAAACCATCCTCGCAGGGCTAAGAAGCACCAAGAAGGAGTCCGAGGTGGTCATTTACCTGTTGGCCCTGGGGAACACCATGCTCCCTGAAACCATCACCACCCTATTGGACTACGCCGAGGAGGGTCCCACTGCCATTGCCACCGCGGCCATCTCTGCCCTGCGGCAGTTCCCCACTCGCCACATCTCTGGCAAGGTATGAAACAAAGCTGCCAAGGCTTGGTGCTCCTCTTCCCATTCAAAGGCAAGCCATTGGAGTACAAATGGAGTTATATTTGCACATCACCACCCTAACAGCACCGTTTTAATTGCACTCTCACATCAGGTGAAACGAGCAATGAGGAGGATTTTCCATGAGAAAAGGAAGAGCTACGAAAAAACCTGTCGCCTGTCTGCTGCAGAAATCCTCCTAGATAATGAGCCCTTGCCCATGGATGTCATCAACATCCTGCTGGCCACCAATGAGCTGGAGGTGGAGACAGCAACGTTTCTGCTGCTGAAGGTCCAGAACAGCCTGCGTGCCGACCACCACCCAGCAAGGTGGGTCTGGAGAAGAAGGCTGCATATTTTCCCCCTAGCTCTACATCAATTTTTTCTCCCCTTCCGTGCTCCAGCTGTGGCTTTTGACCCAGTGTGCCTTTAAAGCATGCTAGCATGACTTCTTGGAGAAGGCATTGGGGCTGCCTAGAAATTTCCAGCTGCAGGAGGAAGAAAACAGCAGGACTGCTAATGCAGATGACACTCAGCCAGCCAAAACCTGGCATCCCTCCTCATCCTGCCCCGTGGCAGCAGGACCCAGGGTTGTGGCTTCAGCAGAGTCCTTGGAGGCCAAAGCTCTGGCTTGCAGGGCAGCGCACAATTTGTAACTGCATTAATCTTCCTATCTGCACAAAACAAACAGAGCACTAATATTTTTTCAGAGCTAAGCAAAAGCTGCACGAAAATATCTGATTGGTTTATCCTAATACATGGGAGGAGAGGAAAATTCCAGGGTGGCTCACATCTGCTCATTTCCTATTTTTGCTCACACTTCTCTGGGCAACTAGCAAGCAAGAGAAATACTTTGGAAATTTTATTTCCTTCTTTGTACAGCCTTCTGTAATGACCACTGACATTTTCCCTCCCTTCCTTCCTGGTGCTGACATACCCTCTCCTTCTTGCTTCCAGGAAGATAATGAAAGACGTCATGAGAGACCCACGGATAAATAATTACAACTTCTTCTCAAAAGCTGGCATCTCCTCTTCTTTCTCAGGACCTCTGACAGGTGACACCACGGAGGACACTCATCCCATCGTCCCCTCAAACAGCTAAAGGAGGGGCTGCTGGGCAAAAGCAGTTTTCAGAAGAGGTCTTGCCTTTATAGAAAGGCCCCAAAATCTCAGTGTGAGGTTTGTGAGCATGTCCTCCAGCATCACCTGAAGCTGGCAGGTTGCCATCACCTGAGATATATATATAGAGAGATACATATATATATATACACACACACATGTTCCTCCAACACCCCTACAACAGGAGGGCTGGACTGTGCCACATACTTTTCCCAAATCCTACTATGAAAGAGGAAGTTCAGCTGGAGATGAAACCAATGGTAGATTGTAGGTGGCAGTTTCTGTGCTTCACTTTCCCTGACAAGATATTTAGCTCAGTTCCTTAGGTATTTTTAATAAGGTCTTCAAAGAGGAGAATCCTTCTACTGAGATAAAAATCATCATACTTCAGAGAGACTGCAACAATTGACATTTGCTAGGTATCTGCTTAAATCTTCACCTCTCAGCTCTCATTTCTGTCCTTCTTCAAAATAGGTCAGTCTAGCCTTGTAGAATGGAGGCAAAATAGCCTACACCTGGAAGAAAAACATTCCAATACTAAATCCTTTGATTTTTGCAAGGATAGAAGGAAATGATGCAGAGAAGCTTTCCCCTCTGAATCATTTAGCTTTATCAGATATTTAATGGCTAACATATGAGTCCGGTGCAGGTCAGCCACCCTGGCCATAGACGGGACAGCTCTATAGGACTAGCCATACAATCTGTTGAGGAAGCTTAGAAATAACTAAGGAGCTCTCAGGATCCTGCTTTTAGACGTACCCAGTGACATCCCAATTTCTGCGATCAATCTGGACAAGCTCTTTTAAGAAACTGCCCTGTCCTGCTGAGCACTGACTTAGTGGCACCAGGTGCAAGGTGTGTGCTTGTCAGGATCCCAGCCTTGCACATCCTACCTATGGGCCCTTTATTTTCTTGTCAGCCTTCATCCCCTGCTGCTGCTCTCAGAGCATTTATGGTTCACCACCATTCAGTGACTCATTCACAAAAAGAGATGTGCCAGGCACTGCCCAGGGATGCTTACGGGTGTGTCTCTGCCTTTCAGTCACCCAGGACCTGCTTTCCACCTTCGGACTGGACCTGCTGTTTTTGGAGGGTGGATTCCTGAGGAAGAGCATCTCTGACTTCTCGCTGCTCAGCCACAGCCAGCAGCTTCGTGCAGCTCAGGTGTGCTGCCAGGAGAGAGGCTGGGGGGCATGTACATAGGGGGGAGTGGCAGCACTAACTCGGTGGTGCCCCATCTGTGTCCCTTCTTAACCTCCTTATGGTGTTTGAGCTCACCACTGCACTTAGTGTGCCCCGTATCAGAAACAGATAAATGCATACACCCCATCACCAATGTGAAGCCAGACAGACCTGCTCTGGAGAAGGGAGGAGCCCCCTGCTCCCCCAAAAAAACAGGGGATGCGACACTGTGGCTACAACAGTGCTCAGGGATAGCTTGCATGCCCCATCCAGCCCTCCCCATCACTGTCCTCCTGCTTCAAAGGGTGCCTACCCAAGGGTTGGACAAGTATAGCAACTCAAACAGCATTGTGAGGCACAAAACAGACCCTCCAGCTTTGCTCCATGCAGCTTGCACATCTCCACTTCTGCATTTTAGGTCACTATTGAAGCACAAGGGTTGGAGTCGATGCTGGGAGAAAACGTCTTGGAAGGGGAAGAGGAGCCAGAGCTCACGGCCAGAATGTCTGCCATCTTCTTCGACGTTCAGTTGCGGCCAATTGTCTTCTTCCAGGGATATACAGACTTAATGGCCAAGGTCCTGTTAAGCAGCAGAGAACCCACAAGTGTGGTCAAAGGGAACCTCCTGCTGATGGACCATCACCAGGTACCGGATGGGGGGTGGGGGGCAACCTGCCTCCATGCCAAATCCTAATGAATCCCATAGCATGGGCCAGTGGATTTTAAGTACGTTACTCACTGTGGATACAGATCTAAGAGTGAGGTAGCACTGCCAGATATCTCTTGGGCTTGGTAAAACAGCAGGATGGCTGGCTCTGCTATGGGATACACGTGGCTCGAGTTCCTCTTGTGCAAGCCCAGGGTTGGGACAGGCAGTCCCAGCAGCCACACAACACTGCTGGTATCAGCTGCTTGGCTAAGAGAGGTGACCAGTCACAGCAAGGTCTGCCTTCTCCATCTTCCAGGTCATTCCTCTGCAGTCTGGCCTCCAAGTGGCTGTCAAACTCCAGGGTGGGCTGGGGCTTGACATTTCAGCCGACACGGACGTGAGCATTTGGGAGCAGGAACTGAAAACCAGCATCAATGCAAGGTCAGTGGGTGGGAAACCGCTTGGCTCTGGGGATGCAGGGTGCCCAGGGGGCTCAGCACCCAACACAAGGGATGCTCCACCTCAGGCTGGCTTTCCACAGCCCCCTGCTCTTCTCCTGATGGGTCCAGCCCTTCCTGTTGGACACACAGTAGGGCTCTGGTGGGTGTTTGTTACACACTCCTTTTCCATGGCTAGACCTAAAATTAAGATGCTTATGGAGTTGTTTGGTGCCAGTGCACAGTGCCCAGCGCAGGGCCATTGCTTGGTGACCAGACCCGTGTGCTTCCCTCTCACAGGGGAAGCTTCGCCATTGATTTCCAGGCAGAACTAGATGCCCCTTTCCTCCAAGCCACCCTGAGAAGCCAGACAGAGTTGGAGACCTCAATCCACTTTGACACCACGCTGAGGTTTTCCAGCAGCCCAGTGCTCATGTGCCTGCAGCTGACAGAGGAGGAGGCCCCATACAGGTAGTCTCTGAATACAGCCAGATGCTGTAGAAACATCATGACATGCTTGAGATAAAGGAAGACTTCTTGGGGAGAGGAGGGAATTAATGGTTATACACTTATTGAGCAGGGTGGGTCAAAACCAGCAGGGATGGAGGAAGGACACCACAATTGCACAATGACATGGGTGGAAGCACCATGCCTAGACCATCGGGAGAGGGTGAATATGCTGGTCTGGGAGGAGGATGAGGTCCACTACCACCACCACAGCCTCCTGACCATCTTGCTGTTGCCTTGTCACACAGAGAAATCTTCACAGTTTCCAAGTCTGCTGGGAGCTGGAGCAGCACCGCTCGAAAAGGCAGGCAAGGCACTGTGCCTGGGCGGGAGCTTGCCTTGCACCGGACCAACTCCAAGGTCTGCAACCTCCTGCTGATGGCAGAAGAAGAATAGGGGAATCTGAGAACTCTGAGACTGGATAACTGCCCCCTCTCCTGCCACACACCCCAGTTCTCTGTGAACCTGACATGAGCTGTCAAGGGCTCTGCCTAACTCCTCCACAACCATCGTTTAATAAGAAAAATGCTGCAATAAGGGCATGAGAAAAGACCACAAGAGGAACTGCTGCAGGACAGCCTGAGGCAGCCCTTGGTTGTGGCTGGAGGAGGCAAACATGCCCTCCCCACCCCATAGGCTGAGATTTCCCCTGCCTGAACTCTTCCTCTTCATGGGAAAGGGCTTGCTGGAAGCCAAACGTGTCCTTGTGAAAAACAGCCACCTTTTGCAAATGAATGAGTTTCTCAGAGCCCAAGAAACCCTTCTGCAAGTGCATACCCAAAAATGCTGTGTTTTCTTGCCGTTTATAAAAGCGGTCAGGAGGGAGCACATCTGCAGGTAGCAGGAAGGAGGTTCCCCATGGAGGGGGTGAACATCCCTCCTTTAACACACAGTTTTGTGGCTGCCAAATTGTCCAGAAACATGGAAAAAAGTATTTCTGGAGAAGGCATGAGGGTTTGAATTTTTTTTTTTTTTTAACACAACCACAGACACATTCACCCCAGAATAATCCTCAAAGAGAAAGGCAGAGAAGCTAGGCAGAATGTTTCATAACCTATTGCAAATTATTGCATGTTCTTTCCATATTATTTCAAGGTGTTTGCATTTCTTTGCATACAAAAGCAACTCAGCTCCCTCACAGCTTGGTGCCATCCTCTTACTCCTGGTGGAACTCGCACTCTGTTGTCAGGGATGTGGTCAGTGCCACATCAGACAGTGAGGGTGAGGCCAGTGGGGACACAGCTTGTATTTCTGTGGGGGTCAGATTCACAGGGAAAAAAAAAGGGTCAAGGCAGAGGAAGGAGTCCCACAGAGCTTTCCCAAAAATTGGGAAATGAAGGCAAAGTTAAAACAGAGCAGGAGAAAGTGTAGCATATTGCAAGAGACCCTTCTAAAAGGTATGGACCAGCAATCTCAATCCTCATCTAGAAACAGGGCAAGTTGTCTTGAAGATGGAGCTCAAAAATGTGGAAAAAATGCTGGCAACCCATCGGCTGCTGGGGGAGGCTGGAAGGAGATAGGGGAACTCAAGCTGAAGGGACTGGCTGAAGAAAAAGGTGAAGAGACATTGGAGTCTTCAAGGCATTAAAGCATCTCATCGCAACTCTGCATAACCCCTCATGATGCTGATCCACAGCAACTGCTTCCTGCTCTAGTGAGCTCCTGCTTCTATTCTACACTTGAATTTTTCCACTTTTTCCCCTCTAAGACAGACAGGGCTGCAAAAATCATCCAAGGTCATAAAAAATACCTTGTAATTAAAAATCACAGGAGAATATGCATTTTAGTGTTTGCAAAGGGTGGATTAAAAAGGTGTTTTGAGATTACCAGGACTCTCAGCATGGGGCAAAGACACTGCATGTAGAGAAATTGCTACTCTAACAGCAGTGGCACACAGGGCTGGATCTGAAGTCAGCAATGCTCAGCTGGGGAACCAGACAATTTCAAACCATGAGCACAAGCTGCCAAGGTGTTTGGAAAGTTTTCCATCCTTGGGATGTTATTTTTTTAATGAGTTATTGCTGGTTCAGTCCATCCTACAGGGCAAATACAGATGCTGGTTGCCATGGAGGGCAAGAGATCATATTTGACTGATGTGGTCCTTTCTAGAGAATCTATCACAGAGAGCTTGAACAAACATTACGAAGCTGTTACTTCACATAAACATCCTTCGGGGTGGACATTATACAACCCAAACTGGTAAAGTTAAGTAGCAGGGTCCCACCTCCATCCCATCCCCTCTGTCCTCTTGATAGAAGCCAGCGCATACTAGATATGCCTTTTGCTGATGCATGCAGATTCAAAACCCATCTATTGAGAGGTGGATTCTGCCTAGAGCCTCTCGTCTTCCTTTTTGGTCCAAAGTTTACATATTAATGGAGAAGCCTCTGGCCTCTCTTATCGCCTGAACAGCAGTTCCCCTTCTCTTTTAATCGAGGCAGCAGATGGAGATAAGATTGCCTCAACCCTACATAAGGGAAGGCAGCGTTCCAGCAACAAGGCGATACAGCAGCTTCCCTTTTCTGCTGATATTTGGGCTCCTTTGGTGACCATTTGTGAAAATTACAATTAGCTTCAAGTAAATATTGCTCTTCTGTTTTGCATTCTCCTCTCAAGTTGGATTGTTATCGGCCACAACCACCGAACACCTCTCCAGCACTGCAGCGAGGCTCGCAAGGAAAAAGCAGTATTTCTTCATTCCTTCCTGATAAGAATGTGCCTTTGAAATATTTTTAGACCCTTTTTTGTATTCTAGAACATGCTTTTTAGGAAAAAAAAAAGAGGGACACTGAGCTTTTTTTTATTATTATGAGCCTGACAACGTAGCACTGAGTCTCCTGGTTTGGGGGGAGGAAACTTGTCTGGTTTTCCATCTGGAGATGCTAATTACAATGTACAAATAAATGCAACGTACTTTTATATTTTTTCTGACTCTCAACTTTTCTGGACACACAGTTGCAAAGCAGAGAGTGGCAGAGAGCAGCTCCCATAGCACAGGCACTTCCAGCAAGAACAGCATGGCCAAAGCTCCTCAGGGACCTGCTTTCTAGGTCTGTATTTAGGTTGCCCTAGGGACACGTAGCCAAGTACCCCACCAGGGCAGCAAGAGAGGACGCAAGTTCTCCTTCTGCTCCTAGAAACCTCCAGAGTACCATTAGGGATGACTGCAGCCCTGCCAGAGAGTTCCCCTGGGGCCAAAGATGCTGCCTTATCCTCTCCTGCCAACTTCTGCAGAGGTATTGGAGGCCATCCAAGACTTTGCTTAAAATCAGGGCTTCCCCTGCATCAAGGCTCTGCTGATTACAGAGCAGTCTCACTCAGAGCAGGCCTCAAGGACACAGAGAGTAATTGCCCTGGGACTTGCCCTCGGGTCTGAACAGGAAGATCCCTGCATGACCGTGGGAGGAAGGAGCCCATATCACTCTTGTTGCATTGCTCGGCTTTCTGCCAAGCTACTGATAGCAGCTTTGAGTCTCATTTGCTCCCCATCTTCACCCTTTCACCAGGAGCATTCCATTATTCCCCACTCCTCTTGTCTCATGGTCAGGATTTGGGCTGACTCAGACTATGTTTTACAGGCTGATGAGATGCTATAACCTCTGCTGGCATACACCACCCCTGTGAGCACCTACGGACCTGCAAAAGCCTTAATCCCCATCAAAACCATGCTGCTCTACCAGGTGTTTGGGGAGGACTATTCGGACCTGAAACCTCTCAGCCTCAACATTTGCTGCTCAGTCAAAGCCAGGAGGCACCCACCTGTCATTTAGGACCTTTTCCATTGCTCTCTTTCCCCCTTCTCCTTCTCTAAAGGAGATTTAGAGAGGCAGATTTGTCATTCAGCTGAGGTTTACTTTACACAGCCTAAACCAGAAAATGCAAATTGATAAAATCCCCAGCTATAGCTGGGGATTTTATCAATTTGCATTGCTGCTGGAAGTTTTGCTCTCCTGCTGAGCCAGTGAACTCTAAAGTTCCCCAGGTCCCTTCTGGAGATTTTTTTTTTCCCAGTTCTGCTTGGATGTTCAAACAGCAAAAGCCAGTGAAGGGACATAAGCATTTCTGTAAAATTACCTATTTCTTTGGCAATGGCTTCAAACGCTCCTAGAAGGAACCTTTCAGCCTCAGACCCCCAGAGCTGACTGTATTGCACCCATGGAGCTGGAACGCAGCACTGCGTGGGACACAAAGCCACCTCAGTCACAGGGGGCAGAAAGGGTCTTGGCCACAAAGAGGAGAAACAAATAAGGGCATCCTCCTTCAAAGGTGCATTATTCCTACTACTTAACTTCATTACAGACTATTCAACAAGAACAACGAGGGAAGAATTAGCTCCTGAAATTCTGCCTTTATCTCCGAAAGCGCTGGTTACAGGCTTTGCATTTCACATTTGGCAGCGGTTTGCTCAGGAGCTGTAGGATGTTCCCTCAGCCACCTTCCCTCCCAGGAGGTCCTACACTGAGCTGTGCAATTAGAAATGATGGGTCCCCAAAGGGTCCTTGCATCCAGGAGCAGGGGACAGTGATAATCGGGGAGGGTTGAAGTACCAGATCTTATTTCTAGCCAAGGTCCTACGTGCCAGCAACCACTCAGATCCCAGGGGTTTTGCAGGGGGTTAGAGGCAAAGCAGCCCAGACCCAGCACCTGGGAGCAGAGCTCCCACCTACCTCTCCAAAAGTGGCTTTGCCTGTGGAGCTGCAGGACAGCAGTGATTTTTTTCCCAAGCCTGGTGGAGACACCAGGCCAAAAACGCTCCACTGCAGCCACGGAGGAGCTGGGTGCACAGCACCCTGCACCCAGGGCTGGGCCACAACCAGCACCCAAGGTCGTAGGGCCTTTGCATCAGCAGGCGATGGACCAAGGCTGACTCATAGCAGCCTCTCACCACTCTGAGCTGGGGTCTATGTGGCAATGCCACTCTCTCCTGGCCTCCAGGCTTGCAATCACAGGCAATTTTTGATATTTTTTTTCTTCTCCTGTAAGTCACTATATACCCAGGACATCTCGTACAGCCCACAGGAGAGGGTATGAACATGGCTCACCAAAAGTGGCGATAAAACATTATCTGCCTGTCTATTACAGCTTTCTGCAGAGACAAAACTAACATGAGAAAGTGTGCGCAAAAGTGAGGGGAACGTGTGTGAGAGGATAGACCTTTGGCAGCAATCAGCTTTTCCTGGGAGCTAGCAGAGGTGCAGGTTTAAAGCGCTGGGGCAGATCTCTTATCAGCCACTGCTCTCTCCTTCCTAGGCAGCTTGCAAAAAAGGTATTGTATTTTCTAACTGCTGGGCCCCAACAACTCCCCGGACGCTATGAAAAATCCAGAAGTGGTTTGTAACTCACCAAAGGAGCATTGAACAGAGAGAGCTGGAGTTGGGCTACAGTGCACATCCCAA